TTAACCTGAAGGCAAGGTGCCATAAAAACAGTGAATCAATATGCTGTCGATAAGTTGGCATTGTTTCATCATTTGTCAAAAATCAGGAATCAGTACTCTGAGAGTACAAAAGTGAAAATGCTCATGCAAGGTCTCTGTCCTGACTTGTCATTATCTGTCCAACTATTTATATCAAGTATCCTACAAGAAGCTATAGAAAGGGTCCAGATATGCGAAATAATAATTGCACAAAGTTTATCTTTATATTGCCCCGCTACAATCTGTAATGTAGTCCCAAACTTTGTGATTGTCTCTCCGCAATAGCATCTTCTTCGACACCACGAATGGCAACACCTGTGCCCCCAACAATAAAGAATCCTGTAGAGCAAGTAGTTTCGTTGTTGCAAGAAGTTGTCTCTGCTGTAACAAGTAGTGACAACAATGAAGATAATTGTTTCTGCTCTCGTCTTGTCAAAAACTTCTAAAAAGAAATAGAATGCCCTTTGGATAAGACTAGCCATGTGACTAAGAATAAAGGCGAGAAGGAAGAAAAAATGAGCATGTTGATTCTTCAGTAATAGCAAGCTCGGATGATAAAACTCAGAAAGAAGTCCAAATAAAGGAGTACAAAAACAGGAGGATAAGAGATCTAATGATGATAAGCATGAAATTCCAAATAAAAGGGTAGAAAGTTGTTATAGCAATGGTAATAAGAATAAGAAGGTACATAAAAAAGATACATCTAATTATCGCAAAATAACAGATGACCCAGAAGATCTGATAAGGGATGTCCAGAGCTTATTCGATGTTAAATGTGGCTGTGAAAGTAGAATCGATATTAGAAAAGATGAATGCAAGGCAAATAATAATGATACACCAGTATATACTTCTTCTAGTATTTTTCGAAATAAAATCGGTATTGAAAAGAAAGAACAAAAGGCATCCAATAATTATCAAAAATCTGCCGAGATAGATTACAATAATGGAGCATATAACCTTGGCCACTGCTATGAAAATAGTGAGAGAATAAAAACTGTATATCCGTTGAGCAGCTAGATATAGACAAATGATGAAACAATGCCAACTTATCGACAGCATATTGATTCACTGTTTTTATGGCACCTTGCCTTCAGGTTAA